GCCGCCCCCCCCGGCAACGGGGAGCCGCTCGCCGCCGCCGCCGAGGGGCCGCCCGAGGGCGCCGGCGCCGCCGAGCGCCCGTGGCTCGACTGCTTGTGGATCGTGCTGGCGCTGCTCGTGCTGCTGGGCGACGTGGGCACGGACGTGTGGCTCGCGCTGCACCACTACGGCCGGCGGGACTACGTGTGGTGCGCGCTCACGCTCGCCTTCGTGCTGCTGCCCTCGGTGCTCGTGCAGATCCTGAGCTTCCGCTGGTTCGTGCAGGACTACACGGGCGGCGGGCTGGGCGCCGTGCAGGGCCTCAGCAGCCGCGGGCCGCCCATGATGGGCGCGCACGGGCGGCGCGGCGCGGCGGCGGCCGGCGCGCAGCGCCTCTGCAGGGTCTCCGTGTGGGTCTGGCAGTCCGTCATCCACCTGCTGCAGATGGGACAGGTGTGGAGGTAAGGCCGCGGCATCGCATCGCATCGGATCGGCCCGCCGCGGGACCGGATCGGCCCGCCGCGCCGGACCCGGGGCGCCCCGTCGGGGGCTGCGCCCGCCTCCGCGCCGCCCGCAGCCGGGGGCTGGCCGAACCCCGCGGTTTCGCCCCAAAACGCTGCTGGCGCCCCCTTTGTCTCTCGAGAGGACGCATGGGGTGCCCCGGGATGTCCCCCACTTCACCTCGGGGGGGGACGCGGTGCCTGCGCTCCCCTCCATGGAGCCGCCGCGGGAGGAGGTTCCCCCCGTGCCAAAGGTGCCGGGCCGCAGCGGAGGGCACAGAGGGGGCCCCCCCTGCAAAGGCGGCCGCTGCCGCCCCACGCGCGTGGGGGGACACAACCGCGTGCGCCCCGTCCCCGCGTGGGGACGTAGGCCTGGGGGTGACCCCGGCCGCGCTGCGGCGCCCGGGCCCGGCCGAGTCCCGCGCGGGACGGSAGGGCCGCCGCGCCGGGGCAGGGGGTGCCACCGGGGCCAGCGAGTCCCCACGGAGCGGCCCCCCTTTGGCTCCCCTGTTGAGGAGCCCGGCGGCGGCGTGGGGAGGAGGTTGTGGGGCGCCCCGGCGAGCCCAGGAGCCCCCCGGGTCCTCCGAGGCCGCTCGCGCGGGAGGCTGAAGGTCAGAGATGGGCACCGTTCCCGCCGGAGGAACCTTGGTGGGCGACAGGGAAGAAACGAGCGGGTTTCGGAGGCGGATGGGGATGAAAGGGAGGGCTGCGTCCTCTGGAGAGCGGTGGGAATTACGTTATCCCACCCAAAAAGAGGCTGGAGGGGGGAGGCGTGAAGGAATTCTCCGGGATGAAAGCCTGTCGGTGCGGGCGCTTCTCCAGAGATGGCGTTTTCGTGCGGCGAGGGGTGTCGTAAGGACAGCCGCGAGGAGCCGGCGTGGCCCTGTGTCCTCTAAGGCGGCTCTGCGCGAGGGAAGGGTTCAGCGCACGCAGGGACCGTCCCGTGGGGATGGAGGACGGGATGGAGAGGCACCTGGGCCCGTCACGGGGCGGCGGATGCGCCCCAACGTGTGGGGCAGACCGCCTGGAAGAGGCTGCGCGTGGGGCACGCGGAGGGGACGCTTGGGTGTTTGAGGCTCTTGAAAACGGTTTGGGGAGGAAGATCCTTCCCCCCGCGACGTGCCTGAGGAGGGAGAAGATGGCAGTGCCTGGCGGAAAGCTCTGGAGGGGGCGGCCGGGGGGTTATCGGCATCCCCGCATTGCCATTCCCAGCAGGAATCGGCGGGGGTGAAAAATATGACCTCACCGGCGCCACGCATGGGGTTTGCTCCTGGGGTACGGATGAAAGGAGAGGTGGAGGAGGGAAAATACCGATTGATGGGAAAGGGCTTTTTTTCTTTTTATTTCCTCTTTTTTTGGGGGTGGCGGAAGGGGTTAACTTTGCTGCTTAATGAAATCGGTGAAGAAGTGGCTGGAGTTAAGATGGAGACAGCATGGTTGAGCCTGGCGGGGAGGGCTGCGTGGGTGGAGGGGAGGGCCTTGACACCTCTTCTGAGGACACCGCTCTGGAGAGGGGAAAAAAATGAATACACACATCAAAGATTTCTCCTTTTTATTTATTTATTTATTTTTTTAAGGAGCTGAGGGGGGTGGAAGGGAGAGTTTCTGCGTGGGAAGGTTGCGTGAAATGCATACCTAGGGAGGGAGCCCATGGCATCATGCGGCGCAACAGCAAAAATACATATTTCTCCTGTGTCTTCAATGTCATTCACGTCGCGTTTCGTGCACGTTTCCTCCCAGGTTCTGTTCGGTGGGGTGGTTTTATGCTTTGGGGGCTAATATGTGGTCAGCGGGGAGGTTGTTGGGAGGGGGGTGTGTACGTGTGGGATATACGTGAGCAAGGTGCATTGGTACATGACTCCTTGCTGTTCTCTCCCCAATGCTCCCAAGCGCCGGCAGGAGCCGTTCTGGATGCGGATGCTCCTCCATTCAGTTGGGTTTCTCCCCATGTGGAGCTGGGYGAGAGCCACGATGACGTATTTGGGGTGTATTTAGCCACGGCGCCGCTCTGCGTTGGCCAAAGCAGCCCCCGGGGCGCTGGATCAAACAGGTGACCCGCTCCGTGTCACTGAAACRAGCCTGGAGCACGCGGAAATACGGGAAGTGCCCTTTTAGTGGGATTTTGCCRGCGGCTAAATCGCTTCCCACCGGTGAGAAGTTCATACGAGGGGATGGAGGAGGAAGGTCGGGGGCCCCGCGAGCCTCCTTTCTCCGTGCGTGAGGTTGGAGCTGCGTGTGACGTGGAGGCCGTTCCAGCTGTTGCTCTGCAGCTGGAAGCCAAGTCACGGCGCGTGGAGGCCGGAGCTGCAGGGAAACCCGCTCCTGGAATGGCCGAGGGCTTCTTGGTGTTACGTAATGTGCGTTTTACTCGCAGAGCATCGCACACGATTTGCCCTCCTGCAGGGGCTTCCTTTCCTGGACTTGGCCAGCAAGGAGCCCGGTATAAATATATATTAGGCTTCTTTTTAATAGCATCAGCTCTTCGCTTCTCAGCAGCGTGGGGGGRGTAGATGTTGTTCATGTGTGTTGTTGGAGGGGGGCTGTCTTTGTTCATGTTTTCAGTCCTTATTTTTGGCAATTAAATTGCACCAGGCAGCGTTGTTGGGTGGGCTAATGGAAATACTGTGATGAGGGGAGTTGAATGATACTCTAAATACATTTTGCTCAGTTTAAACCCAGAGCTATGCTCATACTGCCCATCTCCAAGGGTACATGGCAGGAAAAAAAAGTGTACATATACAATATAAAAATATATATACAATATAAAAATATATATATACATGTATATGTGTTATTTTTAATTGTTTCTTGAAGCGGCATCATGCCAAATGACATCCCCACAGCTAAAGCTGAGCTCCTTCCTTATGGTAAGTCCCCAAGCTGCAGAAGGGGCGTTCACTGAGGAGGGATGTTGGGGTTTTGCCTGCAAGAGGCTCGAGGCAGGTCGGTCTCCTCAGCTCGCCAGGGCCGTTTCTCTCACTGAACTACTCATTCAGCTGTATAAATGCAGAGGGGAAAAAAAAACACAACAAAAAAGTGGTTTTGCATTGAGATTTTAATATCCTGGCTAATTAGCCAAGCTGTGTTTATGACAATTAAGAGCGTAACTTTAGCATTAGATATACCTTTCTCTAAGTGGGTTAGTGGGTCATGACTGCTGTCCCGAAACACAAGGTTTGGGGCGTAAATGTCCGCAAAATGAAACGTCGCAAAATAAAGCGTCATTGAATTCCACTGGATTAGCAGGATGGGGAGTTGGAGCTAAAAATGAATGTTCATCAGTTGAAAAATATTACTGTGTCTGTTAAACTGTCAGTCACAGCAAAGTTTGTGACTTGAATGTAATGTTTGTGGGTTTTGTTTTTAAAATTGGTTTGAAAGCTCCTTTAGAAGAAAAGTGCTCTTTTTTTTTTTTTTTTTTTAATTGTCAGGATCTTGACATTAAATTACCTTGTGTGTGTGCGTGTTTTAAAGGCAAATTTCTAAAATTCAGGCGATGCCTTGACGTCTTGTTTATTAGTGGAAAGACCAAATCTATGAGTTGTTCATCCTTTGCTGTGCCTGGAGGTGGAAGGATGAATCAATGGGTTTAAATGCGATATGTGGTATTTAATGACTCTGTGATGAGTGGGTTTTGGTTCTACTAAAATATTTTGTTCCGGGGTGAGCTCTGAGTTAGATATTTGCCACATTAGATGATGTGGGAATGCAGCATTTACAAYGCATAGACACCAGTCACTTGGAGTGGGAGACATCTGCTTGTCAAGTGACAGATGAGCTAGAAGCTGCTCACCTGATGCTTCCCTAGTCTCATAGTTTGGGATGATCAGCTCTATAGATCCCTTCTTGAAATTTACTGCCTGTTCTGGCACACTTGAGTGTTTTTTTCCCAGCTTTTTCTGGTTAGCTTGTCTGGCAGCTAAGTTTTTCCCTTTAGCCAAGTTTTAACAGCTTGTTTTTATAGTACGGAGTTTTGTCAGATTTTGACAAGCTGGCAGAGGGAAGACTGCTGGGATAAATCATAAATATCTTCTCCCTCCAAACCCAGATCTGGGGTATAGCCTTCTTTCTTCCCCTGCCAGAAACCTTACCTACTCTTACCCATTTCTAAGAGTTTTCCATGGCATCTCCTCCATCAAAGTTGGGCTGTAGCCTGAAAAATCCATATCCCCAAGACATCGAATCTAAAGTGCAGGTCTGGAGGTTGTGTGGATGGATGGTGTAGGGTTCACCATCCCTTGAGCCCAAGGARAGTCTCCATTGGATGCCGAGTGGTGGCCCGGCTCCGTGTCTTGTTGAGTGCCACCCACTAGAGGGGGTCAAACCACAGATGTTGAAGCAGATCTGCCCTTCCAGCCTCAGGAGGGCAGAGTCTCCACTAGGCTTTTCCTTTGGAGATGTTCCTGCAAGATCCGTGTTTCTTGCAGTGGCATCAGGGGATGGTTGTGTGGATAAACAGGATTTGGGGGGAGGAAGTTGAGTTTGGCTCCCTTGCAGACCTTGGGATGGAGCTGAGTAAGAGTTGTCTTCAACTGGTTGCACAGTGACATCTTGCAGTCAGTCCACCTGAGGACTGCAATAGGTGGGGAGCAGAAATGGGAAGCAGAAATGTTCCCATGACCTCACTTTGACCTTACAGGAACCGGTGTAAATTTTCCATGGATTTCAGGATGAGGAAATGAGCACCCTGATGTTTGATAGTTTGGAGAGACCATCTTCAGAGATCACAGAATCACAGAATGGTTGAGGTTGGAAGGCACCTCTAGAGAACATCTAGTCCAACCCTCCTGCTCCAGCAGGACACCCAGAGCAYGGGACACAGGCTCCCCTTATCCTGTATGTAAAAGCTCTCAGAGAAAGCTGCTGTTTTGGAGCTGAGTTGCAGATTGCTCTCTTCYCTGTTGCTTCTCATAAGGTCTTTGACCATAACATCCCTTTTTGAGTCAGTTTGGCTTCATATT